GGGGGCGTTTCATACTCAAAGTGATGAAACGTGCCTCATTTCTTAGTCGCCATCCCCCTTGATCGTGCATGATAGGGTGGAGGCTCATCGAGTCTATTTGCGCATTCATTGACTTGTACAAACTTGGCTTCTCGGCCATCGTGCATTGCGATGCTCGGTTGGTGGCCCGAGAGTCAAGCACCACACTCCTTTGAGCTTGAGAAATGATAGGGAGGGTGGTCGCACACACATACCGTGCAAATACTTTGCCTTGCCCCTTTTGTACTCTGTTTGCAACAAAATTAGAGTGTGCAGGAGCAAGTGGCCGACCGGCCAGGGCAAGTGGCCGGTAGCCTCCTTAAGTGGCCGACAGTTCTCAGGTTTGGAGGTGGTCCAAAGTTATTCTGGTTCTGGAGCAGAAACAACCTGGAGATTGGTTCAGTGTTCAGGAATCAAGGCGAATGCAAACAGAGGCAACCAGTGGCCAAGCGACGAATTTTCGGTAGGAATCCGATCGAGCATGCATGCATCCCCTCGCCCCGAGGCTTTATAACTGCTTTGCTTAGATGGTTAATTCGTTGGTTCTGTAATTAATTAGCAAATGTGCGTAGCTAATCGGTTTGTGTTGTAATAATTAGTTAACTAGAATAGTTAATTAGTTGTGGTTTGTAATAGTTAGCTTAATTACCGTAGCTAGTTAGCTTTCATTTCATTCGGACCCTTCAGCGAGAGGGAAAAATGTTGTAATAAGGGTGCGTGTGTGTGTGCATGTCTTTCAACCCCTTTTCTTTCTGCCTTTTACTTATCAGCTTTTGATGGTTAGTTTAGGGCATATTTCAATTAGCATACATTATGCTTTGCATGCGTGTATCATTCATTTGTCTTGCATACACCGGGCTCAGCGCATTATTCCAACTGCCTTGTATTTCAATACACTTACTTAAATACGTGTTTCAAAGCATGTTATCAAGTGTTGTATTCATATGCCATCTTAGATAGCCGAGCCTATTTAGTTGCATTATTGCATGTGTTACATTAGGCATCTTGCATAGCTAGGATCATGCATTGATTTGTAACTAGTTTTTTGTTTTGGCTCGGAGTACAGTGTAAGTGTTTACGCTTTAGCATCCTTGCATGAGTGTAAGCGATTGCCATGTTTAGCATGCTTGCCATGAGGCTATTTCCTAAAATGAGTAGCTGCATGAATGCCTGTGGATGAAGGCTTCATTACTTGAATTTGAACAATTCATCAAAATGTGAGTTTTAAACCCACTTGAAGTGGCAAAATCATCATGTTTTAAGCCCACCTTGTTTGGTGGCAAATCCGCGTATTAGCTTACTTGCGAGTAGCATCTTCAAACCACTTTCGAAAAACAAACATGAGATGTTTTGTTCCAAATCGAGTGATTTAGTCTATACTTTTATGCTGTGCGCATCATGTAGTAAGTTAGCTAAATAACCGAAATAAGAGCACATGTGTTTTCAAAAACAACATATCATGTTAGTAGAGGCCGATCCTTTGATCGGGCGAGTGGGGGTGCTTATTTCAGGACCTTCCCCTCTCGTACCCAGGTTCCCATGCCGAGGCAACTTTGGTGATGACGGACACGTGGCCTTAGGCACGAGTCAGAGTTTTCTAAATTTCCCAAAATAAAACATTTAGGTGGTGACTCTGAAATCTAGCAAAGCAGTCCATGTTTGGCGCTTTTTGATTAATAAAACATTTAGGTGGTGACTCAGAATGCATATCTGTATATTAGTGGAAGTATGGCATGTTAGTGCAGTGAGGGAAATAATGCAATGTGTAGACACCCCATTTTTGACCATCCTTAAGACTTGGATGTTCTTGCAGGTACATCCAGTGACGAGTTTGATTGCTCGTCGAGTGCTCGAAATCCACGGCGGAACGCCACAAGTTTGAGCTTTCCAAACCCTACATCAATTCTATCTCATTTTTGGACCATGCTTTGGTCCTTTCAGCACGTTATTTTTGATGCACTGCTGGCCATGTTGAGGCTCTGCCAGCCATGGATTTTGGCCTGCCGGCCATTTATGTGCCCTGCCGGCCATTAATGAGCCCCTGCCGGCCATCACTAATGGCCGACCAGCCACCTGTGTATCAATAGATATTTTCTGATACTTTGTGCCGGCTGTTTGCACAGGTTAGCCATCTTCCTGCACGTGTATGGTTGGATCTCTTTGAGGGGATTTTGTATCTTCTTTATATAGAAGCCTTCCTCTTACATGTGAAGGGTTAGAAATTTTGAAGACAAAAAATTTCTCTCTCTCTAGAATCCTCTATCTCTTGATATTTTATGCCTTAAAGCCTAAATTCTGTACACTCTTGCATGTGAGCCCTTGATCAAACTTGATCACCATTGTGTTAAGGTTGTTTGAGGTCTAATTTGAGCTCTAGAAGAGGATATTGGCTTGGTTTGACTTGCCTTTGTTGCCTAAATAGCATCTTGTTTTCAAGAGGTAGGACACTTGTATTTTAAGCCTAATTTAAACACTTGTTTTGCCATCTTTGCATACTGTTTTGGGCCTGGTTTTGACCTCTGAAATCTCTGTTTTTATGGTTTGAAATAGTGGTTTGAGGTTTGTTTGGAGTTAGGGGTAGTCCATCCTTCTTGTAGTTTGCTTGTTAAGTTGTTGTGCCATCTTTCAAATCTTTCTAAACAACTTTTTTCGCTCTCTTAACGACTGAATTCCAGGGGATTTTGAGTGGTAAAAACATTATTTTGAGGTTCAAAATGGGAGGGGGTAGCCTCCCCTCATTGTGTCTTGTTTGCTTGAGTAGGTAGCTTAACATGTGACAATGTTTTTCTAGCTTATGGTGATGTGGTTTGGAAATACTCTTGGGTCCTGAAGGACGTTCTTGATCCTCTAATTGCCACCTGAAAAGGGATTAACACTCTGGTCGGGGGTGCTGTAATTAGCACTTCGACGGACAAGTCTGTATATGTCTCACGTTTGCTTATGTCTCAAGTTTCTTGGGGTTGTCTCTCACATCCCTTTCTTTGGCTGATGTTCCTCTATTTATATTCACTTTTGGGCCTCAAGGTCGAGCCCACTTTTAATCCACCATGTGATTGTTCACCCAGCTCCTTTTGTCATAAACCAATTTCGATTTGGCTCCTCGCTTTGCTGGTTCTATGGCCAATTAGGATGTTCGGCTTCTGGATCGTACAAGACGGTGCCGAATATAATATATATCCTGACTTTCCAAGTATGTATTCGGCCTCTTTGCATCCCCTGTTATTCGACTCCCCCAATTGCCCCCCAAACATCCCACTAACACCAGTTAGTCGGTGTGTTTGGTTTCGAACTTGAAAAGTCAAACAGAAATTCGGCAGTTAACCTCATTCCAACGCGAGTGTTAGAACGCACACGCTTTTTGGTCATCATTACAATTTCCCGCCCCTCCGTACGCTTCCTTTATTTATTGTCATTTAAAATTTTGTTGTCCCTTCGAATACATGTTTTTTGAATACTCAAAGCTCCTAGTCTGCCTTTCGGTATACCTCCTCCATTTTGCGACCTCTGCAACCTCCTTCCGTTTCTCAATGTCTCATCTGCTTCCTGTCAGTTCTCTTCTCCTCCATTTCGAATCCCATTTCCTTGTTTTTTTTTAGTTTAGCATACTCCTTAGACTAGCTAGGATGGCAAAACATTTGAATGACCTCCTTTCTGCGAATTGAATTTCTAGTTTTCGATGCTATTTTTCCACCCCCGACGATGTCCATCTGTCACTCGTGACAGACAACACCCTTGATATGAAGAGGACAGATGAAAGTACAATAATTTTTCCTCTCCTATCAATTGCAGAGGGCAGAGTCCGTTTCCCTCTTCACCCATTTCTTAGGGCCGTCCTTCGCCATTGGGGTCTAATCCCTTCTCAACCTTATGTAAATTTCATCCAATTCATAATGGGGATTATAGAGTTGAACCGATGCCTTAGGATCAATCTTGGCATACCTGCTATTCAGCTTTGTTATGCCTTGGCCAAATCTTTTGGCCAGCAGGGGCGCTACTCTCTCAGGGCCAAGGACACCAACCATCACTTGATGACTATGCTTGCCAGCTCTGGCAAGCGAGTTGATAATGTCATGGTTGATGTCCAAGGTAACTGGGAATTCGGCGAAAGCGAAGATCGCCTAGATCCTATACCTAGACGGAGAGGCGAACCAGGTGGCTGTATAGTTCCTTATATCCATCTACTTTTTATTTACTCGGCTTTCTTTCCATGTACTTATCATTTTATTTGTTCAGGCAACGATTAGAAGAAAGTTTTGGTTTCGGCCGATGACGCTGTGCTTGCGGAAATCAAAATCGTACTCCAGTTCTTTGACCGTCCAAACCTCCAGAAGCAAGGGATGGTGGCCCATATTCTTCTGAGGTACGAGCCGGCTCACATAACATTTTTGGCTACAAACAACATTCCGATTCCACGGGGCGAACAGCAGCTCACGACCCTCATCTTTCCCGCTTCAAAAGCCTTAGGCAGATTGGCTTGGAAGATTCTGAGTCAGAGCAGGTTGAAGAACCAGTAGCCGAGGAAGTCGCCGATCAGCCCAGTCAGTCCACTTTTGAAGTCGAAGAAGTTGACGAAGCTCTAAATTTGGCTTTTGAAGAAGCCGACCTTAATCTATCCAACCCTCCATCCACTTCAGGTCGAGGGGATGTCAGCTTTGAAGATATTTTTATTGATTTAGGAGATCTCCTCAGCTCGTATCCTGAGAACATGGCGGGGAATCGCTTACGCAGCTAGCAAGGAGGAAAAACGTCGAATGGGTGGCCGCCCGAAAGAAGGCCGAGACCATCCGTTCTGAACCTGCTGCCGCAACTGAGTCTTCTCTTCCTGTTATTGTGGAAGAAATGGCTCAATTGAGACGGCCGAGACGAAGCAGATAGTCGAACGGTTGAGTCAGGAGGCTGATCAGAGGGGGGAGAAACATCCCACTGAGAGCGAAGTCGGCTCTGAGGAATGCCCTACCAACAAACGGCCGCGCATAAAGGAGTCATTCAAAGAAAGACACTGATACAGGAGTCTCAGGAGTCGCAATAACTGATGGTGATGGTAGTGATACAGGAGTCTCTTCACACCAAGGCTCCCCCTGAAGAGATGACGGGGACACCGGGGATGAGAGAAAATACGACTGGGATTCAAAGAAAGACACTGATACAGGAGTCTCAGGAGTCGCAATAACTGATGGTGATGGTAGTGATACAGGAGTCTCTTCACACCAAGGCTCCCCCTGAAGAGATGACGGGGACACCGGGGATGAGAGAAAATACGACTGGGATTCAAAGAAAGACACTGATACAGGAGTCTCAGGAGTCGCAATAACTGATGGTGATGGTAGTGATACAGGAGTCTCTTCACACCAAGGCTCCCCCTGAAGAGATGACGGGGACACCGGGGATGAGAGAAAATACGACTGGGATTCAAAGAAAGACACTGATACAGGAGTCTCAGGAGTCGCAATAACTGATGGTGATGGTAGTGATACAGGAGTCTCTTCACACCAAGGCTCCCCCTGAAGAGATGACGGGGACACCGGGGATGAGAGAAAATACGACTGGGATTCAAAGAAAGACACTGATACAGGAGTCTCAGGAGTCGCAATAACTGATGGTGATGGTAGTGATACAGGAGTCTCTTCACACCAAGGCTCCCCCTGAAGAGATGACGGGGACACCGGGGATGAGAGAAAATACGACTGGGATTCAAAGAAAGACACTGATACAGGAGTCTCAGGAGTCGCAATAACTGATGGTGATGGTAGTGATACAGGAGTCTCTTCACACCAAGGCTCCCCCTGAAGAGATGACGGGGACACCGGGGATGAGAGAAAATACGACTGGGATTCAAAGAAAGACACTGATACAGGAGTCTCAGGAGTCGCAATAACTGATGGTGATGGTAGTGATACAGGAGTCTCTTCACACCAAGGCTCCCCCTGAAGAGATGACGGGGACACCGGGGATGAGAGAAAATACGACTGGGATTCAAAGAAAGACACTGATACAGGAGTCTCAGGAGTCGCAATAACTGATGGTGATGGTAGTGATACAGGAGTCTCTTCACACCAAGGCTCCCCCTGAAGAGATGACGGGGACACCGGGGATGAGAGAAAATACGACTGGGATTCAAAGAAAGACACTGATACAGGAGTCTCAGGAGTCGCAATAACTGATGGTGATGGTAGTGATACAGGAGTCTCTTCACACCAAGGCTCCCCCTGAAGAGATGACGGGGACACCGGGGATGAGAGAAAATACGACTGGGATTCAAAGAAAGACACTGATACAGGAGTCTCAGGAGTCGCAATAACTGATGGTGATGGTAGTGATACAGGAGTCTCTTCACACCAAGGCTCCCCCTGAAGAGATGACGGGGACACCGGGGATGAGAGAAAATACGACTGGGATTCAAAGAAAGACACTGATACAGGAGTCTCAGGAGTCGCAATAACTGATGGTGATGGTAGTGATACAGGAGTCTCTTCACACCAAGGCTCCCCCTGAAGAGATGACGGGGACACCGGGGATGAGAGAAAATACGACTGGGATTCAAAGAAAGACACTGATACAGGAGTCTCAGGAGTCGCAATAACTGATGGTGATGGTAGTGATACAGGAGTCTCTTCACACCAAGGCTCCCCCTGAAGAGATGACGGGGACACCGGGGATGAGAGAAAATACGACTGGGATTCAAAGAAAGACACTGATACAGGAGTCTCAGGAGTCGCAATAACTGATGGTGATGGTAGTGATACAGGAGTCTCTTCACACCAAGGCTCCCCCTGAAGAGATGACGGGGACACCGGGGATGAGAGAAAATACGACTGGGATTCAAAGAAAGACACTGATACAGGAGTCTCAGGAGTCGCAATAACTGATGGTGATGGTAGTGATACAGGAGTCTCTTCACACCAAGGCTCCCCCTGAAGAGATGACGGGGACACCGGGGATGAGAGAAAATACGACTGGGATTCAAAGAAAGACACTGATACAGGAGTCTCAGGAGTCGCAATAACTGATGGTGATGGTAGTGATACAGGAGTCTCTTCACACCAAGGCTCCCCCTGAAGAGATGACGGGGACACCGGGGATGAGAGAAAATACGACTGGGATTCAAAGAAAGACACTGATACAGGAGTCTCAGGAGTCGCAATAACTGATGGTGATGGTAGTGATACAGGAGTCTCTTCACACCAAGGCTCCCCCTGAAGAGATGACGGGGACACCGGGGATGAGAGAAAATACGACTGGGATTCAAAGAAAGACACTGATACAGGAGTCTCAGGAGTCGCAATAACTGATGGTGATGGTAGTGATACAGGAGTCTCTTCACACCAAGGCTCCCCCTGAAGAGATGACGGGGACACCGGGGATGAGAGAAAATACGACAGGGATTCAAAGAAAGACACTGATACAGGAGTCTCAGGAGTCGCAATAACTGATGGTGATGGTAGTGATACAGGAATCTCTTCACAACAAGGCTCCCCCTGAAGAGATGACGGGGACACCGGGGATGAGAGAAAATAAGACTGAGATTCAAAGAAAGACACATCCATAGAGTCAAACCATTTGCGAGAAGGGGGATGATAACACTTGTAGCCCTTTTGAGTGGCAGAGTAACCCAAGAAGACACACCGAAGAGACCGAGGATCCAACTTACTACGGGTAGGAGAATGATTATGAACAAAGCACACACACCCAAAGGTTTTGGGAGGAATGGAGAAGGCAGCAAAAGCTTGGAAGCCGAACAAAACCTGAAGAGGAGTTTGTTTATGAAGAACCTGGGTAAGAAGCTGATTGATGAGGAACGCAGCAGTGAGAACCGCTTCCCTCCAATAGGATCAAGGAACGCACATTTCAAAGGATAAACAACGTGCAATATCAAGAAGATGCCGGTTTTTACGCCCGGCAACACCATTCTGTTGAGGGGTATTGGTACAAGAAGTTTGATGAATAATACCATGAGTGGCAAAATAGCTAGCAAGTCCAGAATCAATGTATTTCCCCCCATTATCAGAACGCAGAATTTTGACAACTGCCCCAAAGCGAGTGCAAAGCATTTTATGAAAATTTTGAAACACAGAAAACACCTCACATTTGTCCTTCATAAGATACACCCAGGTGGTCCTAGAGCAATCATTAATAAAGGTGACAAACTATCGTTGACCCTTTAAAGACACAAAACGAGAGGGACCCCATACATTAGAATGAATCAAAGAAAAATGAACTAAACTTTTATTAATAGAATGAGCAAAAGAAGTTCTGTGTTGTTTGCCAAGTTGACACGACTCACAATGAAACTCAGAAATATTATTTTTCAAAAAAACAGAGGGAAAAAGATGCTTAAGTAACAAAAAAGATAGATGCCCAAGACGGCGGTGCCATAACTAGATGTCTTCCTTGGTAGATGGAAACTGAATGGATGAGTGAGCCAGCTTGTCTACTTGATCCAAGATATAGAGACCATTCTCGTGTCTACCACTGCCAATCATCTTCCTCGTGATAAGGTCCTGAAACAGACAATGGTCAGGGAAAAAGGTCACACTACAATTTAAGTCCCGAGTAATACGACTCAAAGACAAAAGATTAACACTAAAATTGGGAACATGTAGGACAGAAGATAAAGGGAGAGAAGCAGTGGCATGAATTAAACATTTCCCAGACACAGAAGAAATGATACCATCAGCAATTCGAACTTTATCCTGCCCTGAAGAAGAGGTATACGCGGAGAACAAATCAGAAGAACCAAACATGTGGTTGGAAGCACCAGAATCGATAATCCAAGGTAACGTTTGATGAGAGAGGAAAGCACTTGTAGAAGAAGCTAAGTTACCTGACTGGGCAATATTACCTAAAGATGAACTAGAGGCCTGACGGTCTAGCAAGTGGCGAAGAGCAACCTCCAACTCAGAAGTAGAAAACCCCAAGATATCAGCAGATGAATCAACTAGAGCTGTGAACTGTGGCTCAACTGTATCAGAATGATGGGCTCGGGCATTGGGCCCACGGCCTCGAGCCTGTCCGGAGCGACCCCCTCGAGAACTAGAACGGTCTCCACGACCTCCAGATGGTTGCCTATGCAACTTCCAACAAGTCTCACGGGTGTGGCGAGGGCGATGACAAAAATCACAGAAGAGAGTATCCTTCTCAGAAGGAGGGCGAGAACCACGATCCCCATCTCGAGAGGGGGCAGAAACTAGGGCAGATTGATCAGAAGAGACAGCCGGAAGCATAGCAGAACGACAACTCTCCTCATTCTGCACATAAGCAAACGCTTTTTGGAGAGAAAGAAGAGCATCCATACCAAGCACATGACTCTGAACAGGATCAAACTCCACATTCAAACCTTCCAAAAACTTGAAGACCCACACTTGTTCAACAAATTTCCGGTAACCAGCAGAATCTGTGGGACAGACAGGCTTGTAGTCCTAAAGATGATCAAGTCGTTTCCACCCATTGCTAAGGAAAGTAAAATACTGGAGAATAGTCATCTCACCCTGAACAGACCGGTCAATAGAGCATCGTAACTCAAAAGTCTGTGACAAATTACCTTTGCGGGAATACGTAGTGGCTACAGCCTCCCAAATATCCTGTGCTGTGTCCATAGACAAGTATCCTTCACTGATCTCTGGAACCATAGAGTGTATCAACCAACCCATGATAAGAGAATTGGTAATCTCCCACTGATCATAACCTGTATCGGTGATACTGGGAGCCTGAACACACCCATCAACATATCCCATCTTCCCTTTGCTCTTCAAAAATATAGTCAAACTCTGCGACCACGCTAGATAGTTCTGACCATTAAAGAGAGAGGTGGTGATTTTCTGGCCAGGGTAGAGAGAATCGGTCATCGAAATAGTCAAAATAGGACTCACGCCCTGTGTAGCAGGCTGCGAAGTAGTAGACTCACTAGTCAATTCGGCCATAATGACGTCGCAACGGAACCCTCACAAACACATCCAGCGTGAATCACAAACCCGAAAGATGGGAAAAAATAATAATGAATTTAAAATAAATTTAATAGAACATTTTTTTTTTTGGTTATAGAAGACAGAGAGAGATTACAGACTCAGAGAGGCTTACGTATGACGAAGACACAGAGAAAGATGAAGACGGAGTTACATGTAGAGATCGAGAGAGATGTTGACGAGGACAGACCACAGGGCTCCAAGCCAGCCAAGAGAGAGATGCGCCTGTGCCTTCGACGGGAGTCGTGACTCCGACTGGGGTTGTCGGAAACTTAGGGGCCTGCGACTGGGACTGTCGGAGCCCTAGGTGGGGCCTGCGACTGGAGTCGTGACTCCGACTGGGGCTATCGGAACCCTAGGTGGCTTCGCCGGGGGCTTGTGGGCTGGGGTGGTGGTGCGGTGGCGTGGTGGTGGTACGGCTACGGCTACGGTTTGTTTTTTTTGTTTTTTTTTCCAGATCTGACACCATGTTAATTTTAGAAGAGAAAAGTTTAGGGTATGAGTGGTTAATCATACCCTTTTATATTAAATCATAAACATAAGTTAAGGCCTAAATAAAGGCTCATTACAGCAAATAAAGAGACTGAATGAATAAAAATGGAAAATTTCCTAACACATTCTAACACATTTTTGCATCCTCATTCCATCCGAGGCACTCCTAGGCCATGTTTAAGGCATCATAATGAGGATAATGATTTAGAACCACACCAAAGCAAGCAAGGGGCTAAGTTATTAATTCCGGGTGTGTAAGTTAGTGTGTGTTCGTTCTACAACTGTGTAGGTTTGGCACCTAAGGACGCTGATTAGCCTGCCTATAGCCCAGTAATCAGTGAGTAACAATGTTGTAAAGCTATGTTCAATTACAATTATTTTCTGAATGATTAATGTACTGCTTTCTGAAATGATATTGTTTACCGAACGAATGTTTGTCCTATTTTACGAACTGTATTCGTGGCATCCATAGCAATTGACTGTTACTGCTACTGCTACTGTTACTGCTACTGTTATAGAGATCTCTATCAGTTTCAATGTTTGAAACTACTACTGTTTACTGTTTTGATAGCCATCAACTGATTGTTCGGTTTATTTAGACCTACTGTACTGTTCTGCTATTGGATGTACCACGTATGACTGCTATGGTTTCCAACCGAATGTTATGACTTGAAATATGAGTCACTGATTGAATAACTGATTTACCGATGCAAATGACTGTTTCAATTACTGAAAGGACATTTATTCTTAACCCCTTTACGCATTTGTTATTCACTGGGTTTTAGCTCACAGTTTATATATATATATATATGTAGATGGCAAAGCACCGGACCAAAGCTAAAGGCGCAGACTTAAGCTCCCGTTTTGTCAAGCCAGCCATTGTGCCTCATATCGAGGTTCCGAACCTACACGAGTCAAGGCTATTTTGGGGTGTTTCAGATTTACCATTTTTTTTTCTCTGTTAATGTAAAGAATGTTTAAGACTTGATTGTACAATTATGATGAGGGGATTAGGTCCCCAACCTGTATGCTACTTTGTACATGTATTTTTGGTATATGGCTATGAATGTGGTTTTGTCCATGAAAGTCCTTTCCATTCAGGTTTTCACAGGTTATTGGACATCTTTTTATTACTGTTTGGCTCCCGCCAGCCCCTTTATATTGTATTATTGTCATTACCGTTAAGCAGGCTTTTGGTAATCACGGATTACTGGTCGGTTACAATGCTAAATCCTTAGGGGCGGGTTTGGGTCGTGACAATAGACCACAACGCCGTTCGAACCCCTCCCGCCGTCTACGTTCGAACCCCTCGTCTTCCTTGCTGCTGTTTCTCTCTTTTCCCTCCAAAAGTTAAGTGGTGTAAAGTGATGAAAGGGTTAATTTGGGGTTAGTATTGGTAATATTATGGGGGTGTAATGAGAGTTATAATTTTTTTAGTGGTATAATGAGATGGAGGGTGTAAAGAGATAAAGTAGTGGTGTCAGTACAATCACCCCTAAACTATTTCATAAAGAGTGAATCTATCACCAATAAAAAATATTCATTAGATCTAATGTCTTATACCCTCCTTAGATTAGATTCATCACCAATTTTCTCTTATCTTAATTAGGAGTTTATTTTGGTTAGGATTTTATTAATATTTGTTTTCTTATTCCATTAGGATTCAATTTCTTATTTTGACTAGGTTTCTTGACTTATTAAGTATTAGAGTTTGCATTGTATTATTCAGCTTTAAATTAATGAATTAAGTGTGTTAGGTTGTGGCCATGTGTTAGGGCTGTGGCCCTCTTCTCTCTCTCCTCTCTTCTCTTTTCTTAAAGTATCCTACATCAGATTGCTTCTAGGAAAGAAGCATATTGTTGCCAGCTAGGTTGCCAGCTAGGCCTCATGGAACAATAAATTAATGTATGGAATTTCTTCGCTTGATGGTTCTGCATTTTGAGTAGCATGTCTGGACACACTACAGTAAAATGAGCTTCACTCATAGTTTTTATTTTTTATTATTTTTATTTATATATATATTTTTTAAAGCTTCTCCTATAGTTGCTACCACAAATGAAGCTTTATACTGCTTATCTCCTTTATCGCCTTGCCAATTATTTAATACTACAGCCAAAGTAACAGTAAACTCTAAGCCCCTTCTGGTTCATGGATTTGGTGAGGAAAAAGAAAAAGAAAACGTGATGGAAATTATTTTCCTTATGTCATCACCATCCGAAATAGGAAGGAAACAAAAGATGACAAAAAAATTGGATGAAATTTCTACTTTTAGTTATCATTTTTCCTTTCTTAGTCCGGAATTTAATCTTTGTCTAAAATAGGAGATAAATTGTTACTTTTAAATTTTCTTTTCCCTAACCATTTCCAAGAAGCAGTTAGAAAGTTAAGGGCAAGTTTGGGAAGCTCATAAAATAGCTAAAAAGTCAAAAGTTACTAAAAAAAAAAAAACAAAAAGCCAAAGAACTATACGAAAAAGTCAAAGATTCCCTTTCCTCTCAACTTTATGCACTTTTTTCATAAAAAGTCAAAAAGTCATCCCAAATATACTAGTTATTTTCATCCCATGTTTTAGCTAAAAAGTTATTAAAATAGCCTATTCCCAAACCAATCTTAAGACTATGTTTGGATCTTGAATTTACCAATCTTAAGACTATGTCTGGATCTTGAATTTACCGGTCTTAAGACTATATTTGGATCTTGAATTTGTCAAGTGAAAGGAAAATCAAATGTACATATTCATTTTTAATGGGTAACCAACTAAAACATTGATTTTTATTTTTAACAATAATCTATTCATTTTCTTAACAGAACCAACAATTCAAATAATAATAATAATAACTTTAAATTTATTTCCATCCCTTTTCCTTTCCCTCCACAAATCCAAGATCCAAACATCCAACAAGGGAAGCAACAGGAAAGGAGAGAAAAATGCATGCATGCATGAAGGCTATAGATATATGGTAGCTTAAAAAGATAGAAATTTAAATACCTGCCTATTGACTAGTGGCAAAAAAATTCCAGGAAGCAAAGCTCCCTGAACTACCAAGATGTTGAGTGAAGCCCACAAACTGATATTCTTGTATGAAAATCGTAGCCAACCTAAGAGTCGTTTAGAATTGCTTGATTTTGTAAATCTGATCATTAGGTGGATCTCAGTTCTTGAAGGGTACATCTTCCAAAGCGAGTTGAATTTTCTTGAGCTTTGATGCCAAATGATTGTTACAAGTTTTGATAGGAGGGTAATATTCATGTAGGTTATGTTGCAATCTTCGTTCATGATTACCCAGACCTAGTTTTAAACAAGATCTTGCATAAGTAGAGCTAAGAATTGGAGCATCCATCTTCAGATTCAAGCATCCCCCAATGTTCCTCAGGCATGTACCCTGCCATCATCAACTGATCAATTATCAGGGAGAGAAGTTTGTATATCCTCTCAGATTGAGGATGTAATCTGTCTCCTGCACTGAATTCGTGAACTCTGTTATTCACTTCAATGGAACTCCCACCTGACACCTTTATGACACCTGTGTCCCTCATCACCTTCCTCATCATCCCAGATTCATTCCACCTACCAAGACCAGCATACACATTAGATAAAATTGTATAGTTTCCACTATTATGGGGCTCCACCGCCATCAGATGTTGCAAAGCTCGTTCGGCTAGCTCCACGTCTCCATGGATTCTAGAGGCAGCAAGAAGGGACCCCCATATAGCTCCGTTAGCTTCAAATGGCATCCCTGCAACTAGTTCCTGTGCCTCTTGGAGGCAACCAGAGCGTCCTAGTAAATCAATCATACAACCATAGTGCTCAATCTTTGGTTTGATCCCATACCTTGAATGCATGATATTGAAATACCATCGGCCCATTTCAACTGATCCAACATGGCTACAAGCAGAAAGAAGAGCAATGAAGGTGACGTCATTTGGCTTAATTTGAGCCCTTTCCATGAGAGAGAACACTTGCAGGGCTTCTCTACCAAGCCCGTGCAATGCCAATCCAGAAATTATACTAGTCCAAGTTACGATACTAGTGTGTTTCATGCTTTTAAAAACTTGAGTGGCCTTTCGAATGTTGCCAGATTTGGCATACATGTCTATGAGAGCATTGTTGAGAGGGAGGGTATTTTTGCGGAGCCTGTGGGTGTGTTTGTGGATATAGTTATGGATCCACTCCCCCAACTCAAGGGCACCCAAACGGGCACAAGCTGAGAGCACAGACAACAAAGCAACTTCGTCGGGCTCCACACCCTCAAGTTGCATTCTGCGGAAGAAGAGGATAGCCTCGCTGGGCCTGTCCGACCGAGCATATCCAGAAATGAGACAAGTCCAAGAAATAACATTCCTGTGGAGGAGGGGCATGCGGTCGAACAATTGACGGGCAGTGTCAAGATCAGCAACCTTGGCGTAGGCAGCAATGATTGCATTCCAGGAGGAGGTAGTAGTAAGAAGCATTCCATCGAACAGCTTTCGGGCGGCAGGGAGGCATCCGCAGGAAGCATACATTTGAATAAGGGCGGTGGAGACGTGGAGGTGGGTGTGTAGTCCAGTGGCAATGGCTTGGCAGTGAATCTGTCGGCCGACTTGGATTTGGTTTTGGTCTTCGATGAGTCCGAGTCGGGGGACGGCCTTCAAGGCAAAGGGGAAGGAGTAAGTGTCGGGTCGTAAGTGGGAGAGTGATTGAATATTGTTATAAACAAGAATGGCATCTTGGGGTTGACAGTAATGACGAGTAGAGAGAGCCTTGATCATAGTGTTGTACAGGTAAATGTCAGGCCCATTCCCCCCAGCTGGCTTCATTTTAATCCTGTGTTTGAAAACCGAATAAGCGTAGTCCGACGAGCCCAGGGCGGAGGATGCGCCGATGAATCTGCTGAGAAGGAGGTTATCCAGATCCAGACCCCTGCGCACCATCATACCATGGCTTTCATACAGCTGCTTCGCGTCCCCCACCACTACTAGCAGCTGGAGGAGGAGTTGTCGTTGTTGCTCTCTTCTTCTTGTCGTTGAACTAGTTGTACCGCCACTACCACTACTACTACTTGTACACAAAAATCGGTGGCGTTTAATAGAGGCGTAGGGTGATATTATTCCCATAGACACGACGGACAAGTAGCTGTGCAAATTTGCACTTGCTTTGCTTTGCTTCGCTTCGCTTCTTATTATGGATTGGATGATGATCTAATTGTAAAGTTCTAGGTTGTAGCTGCTGTCTTAGAGCACCTCCGACCCAATTCTCGCACCAAGAGAACGAAAATAACTTTTTTTTATTCAAAACGTAAGTATAAAGTATGTTACTCTTTATTTAAATTTCAATTACAAACTTTCATTTTCTTTCCAATGGTTGTTATCAACCGTAATTTTTAATTTTTTTAACTTATTGGGCATTTTTTTTAAGCATTAATCATCATTTTCTTCTCTAAAGATTTCTCTCAAAAATATTTTCATCAAAAAATAAATAATTTTTGTTCATTAATAAATATTTAATTTTGAAATTCTTGTAAAATATATAATTTATACACATTTTAAAGGTATAATTTCACCCCTTTTAATGATGTGAATTTTATAAAAATTAAATTTACATATCAAAAGTTATTTTTTAATATAATAAAAATATATAGAATGAATAGTATTTTAGAGATGATACTCTATTTTTCATCCTCCTTCTAAATATGGAGGATCAACCAATCCTTCTTTCAAATAGAAATAGATTTAAAGGATTGGTTGAAGGAGCAAATCTTTCAAATATACAGTCATAGAGGATGGGTTGGAGATGCTCCTATTTCTCCAAAAATGTTAATTAAGGCACTTAAAATAAATAAATAAAAGCAAAATGTAGCCCTAGCCCTCAAGTTTAACACGTGTTTCAACTGTGGTAGATTTTTTTTTTTTTTTTTTTAAACTCAGCTGTGTGGCAGTTTAGTCCCTTAATTTTCAAAATCAAATCAATTTAGCCCTCAATCTTAAAATATAAATAATGCATCAGCTTAAAAGTTTGATTAATTACTATAAAACCCTATCTAGGTTTGTTTCACTCCACCTTATGCTTTTGATCACAGAAATAAGAGCTGAAATAAATAATAGTTTAACATATATTTTTTTAAGGAAAACACTATAAAGAAGAAAAAAAAATGACATAATTTCTTACATTTTTTGTCATAATTAAAAAAAATATCTTAACTAAACATAACATAAAATATAACTAAAAATTTCATGAGTTATAATTAAAATAATGTCATAACTAAAAAAAAAATTAATCAAACTAAAAATAAAAAAAAATAGTATAACTATAAGTGTGTATAGTACACCCCTTTGAAGGCTGTGCCTATTAGAATTTTTCATTTTTGAATTAGAAAATCAACTAAATAAATTAAATGTTCATTTAACTATTGTATCAGGACAGTCTTTAGTGACTTATAGCTATAGAATTGCTAGACTTAAAAGTGCAAATAGCCTTTAAAAAGGCGGTGTAAAACCAAAGAAGAGTTTTACAAGATTTAATAATAAATTAGTTTGAAATTGATATAAAGAAGAAATATATCAAAAATTAACTTTTCATTTAAAAAGTAAATACATATGAGATTTAGAAATTAAAAATTGTGAATATAGTATAGGATAAATAAATTATGAGAATATATTAAGAAATAATAAAGAACATAAATATAAATATCTACTTATTGGCAATGTACAAATACAAATTACTACATAATTCAATAAGCGACAAAATGTAAATATATATGCATTTTTATGTGACATTAGGCAAAGATATTTTGGCAAATCGATAATTAATTAAATCAAAAGTAACCTATGTGGAGGTCTAATAGGTTTCAATTGGAAACCTAGATATTACGTTAGTTTAAAAGATAAATTTATAAATAAAATTTTGGAAAAATTATTGAAAACTCCCATTTAGAAGAGTTGTAGTTAAACAAGTCCTACTTTTAAATTGCAATACGCCCAAGTCCCATTTTTTTGATTATGTGTTCCGCATGGTCCCATTCAGTAATTATGGAATGGATTTTGTGACATATATACCCTTTTATTTTGTGAGTGATAACGTTTTCGGCAGGGATTTGTTTGAATTCCTTTGATTATGTTAGTCTAGTGTGCACGTTTTTGGAAGATCATATGTGGGTAGATTTTTAGGGATGGTAGGGTTTGTGAAGTATTTGAAAACTGCCAGGAGGTTAGGACAATGTGTTCACGGTTTGTTTTTGTGGTGCAATCAGTCATCTGTTTGTTTTTTGCAGTACGTAGTGTAGTTTTCATGGATTGTGTCGGCGGTAATGTCTTGATTATTTATCCGTTTGTTTTTGCTTTTAGATTGGGAGGGTTCAACGTTGACATGTCGGTCATGATGTCGGTCGTGTGGGATGTCACGAGGAACTGCCATAATGGGTTGGAACATTTGACGTTTGTTGATCTGAATATGTTTATGAATGTTGCATCTTCCACATTGCACAAACAACCGCTTTATTCGATATGTTTTGGCATAAAACATAGTAGTATTTTTTATTTTTTATTATTTCAGTTTGTAGTAGTGTACAAACACATCATGTAATAATGTACATGTAATGCGGAATCGATTAACCTGAATTTTTATTTTTAATCTACATTTTTGTTCTATTTCGGTTCATGGTTCGTTTTGATTTCACGTTTAGTAGGTTGGCCACTCATATTTGCGAACAATATATGTCCTTGAATCCTTGGTCCAATATTCGTTGATGGCGAACCAGCAACGATACACAAACGAGTCCTCTCTTTTGATCTTGTCCATGGGCTCGATGTCCTCACATCTTCTGCAGTACAAAAACAAACATCAATTAGTTTTCCAACCACATTGTACAACAAACATGAATAATAAACAAAATTACGAACACATACGATGAATGCACCGTGTGAATATCACGCATCCATGCACAACCAACACATTGCCCATACGTTACACAATGGAACACACAACAACACACAACCCACACACTACCCAAACACTACCCAAACACTTTTACTACATGAACATGCACACGCGCCCCACCCCCAACCATCCTCGTTTCGACTAAACCATAATACCCATTACGGAACATAACCACTACACATGACAAACAAGCCTTCATTTTTTACTACATAAATATGCACACGCCCCTCCCTCCCTCCCTCCTTCTCCCCCCACATTTCCCAACTCACACACCACCCCACTAACACCACACACACTTGGAATGGACATACTATACATTCACACACCCACGCACACGAATCAAGTAAACCACATATTACTCATGTTTTCATGGTCAATCCATAAACACGGTGGAAATATATGCCCACCATGTGCCTAACCAAACCACATTCAAAAACCAAACCCAAATCCCCCCCGACCCCACATTTCTCAACTCGCACACCACTTTAATATTAACAGACACACTATGAGAAAACACCCATGCACACCATGGCCCCCGATCACACATTCATGTACCCATGCACTCGAAACACATAAACCACATATTACTAATCTTTTCAGACTCAATCCATAACACAGTGGAAGCATATAGCCACCATGTGCCCAACATATCCACATTACCAAAAAAAAAAAAACAATTCCCCTACCCCCCAACACATTTCCCACCACAATGGCACTGGAGTCTTCAGAAAGTATCACTACATTTGCACATTGACAACACAAACCCACAGAATCAATCTAAAAAACAAACCGACCAAACCAACTAACACGATTCAAACTCATGTACCCACGCAACCCCCAATCCCATGCCATACTCAATATAACCATCCCACATCACCGTCACCTACTACCATCACACTCAATTAACAATGGACATAACTGGTACATACCCACACCATAAACGTGCAAAAATCCTAACACACACGACAAAATATATGTATATAAAATTGATTTTAACATCGATTACAGATACGCATAGGAACTTATTGTTACATGGCATCGTTATTGGAGTTGGAATGGTTGATTTACAAGACACCTTTGAACAGTTGGTAAAATCTCCACTGCTACACCCAACCCTGCATCAAGGACCAAACGTAACAACCTCACCAACAAAAGTAACACTCCACACAACAACTATAGGGTATGTTTTCCCGTTGTAGATTTAGTGAGATTTTGGGAGATTTTTCACGCACATCATCGTCGCACGAACGGTTTATTTCCAAATCTACATTGAAAAATATGGGATCTGATTACATCAAACATGCGATACACAACGATTACAAACCTCCTAAACAAATGCACCGACAATTTCAGGATCTTCGATCTTGCAGATTTGTCCCACGCGTTACCAACGTAACAACGTTAAGACTATTTCGTTCAGTAACCTTACTCGCCAAACTTACTAGCTCAGGTCAACCAGTCAGAATCCTCGGTGAAGATGTTGTCTACCAAAATGTAGGCAAGCCAACAAATGTATTCCGTCAGGAAACCCTAGTTACTGGACTCACCAAATCGGTAAAATCGGTCGGAATCCTCCAAATTGAGGAGTGCACACTTTCGTCGAACTCTGAAATGTGGGCCTTCCAAATGTGGGTTAACCAACAAATGTACATCACCCAACCCAAACTAGTAATCCCTAAAAACCCTATAGTAAATTTTTTCCAAACGTGGCATAAACATAAACCACAGAAACAAAACTTTCAAAAACAAATACAACACACAAACAGGCAAAAACGTAGCTACACACTTAATGCGACCTCTACATGTATAAAATTAAAAAAAATATTTCAGAGCTCTAGAGCAAGATGACACGACCATAGTTCTTTCCTAGCTATCCATGTGGCACTTAGACAATCTCAAGTATTACTTGATGATGCTAAGTCAGCCTTACTCACAAACTTGTAGGAAAGAGAAGTTAGAAGAACACAAGAGAGTTTGAGAGAATGCCTTGTATTTACTCTTGAGAGAAATTTTTACAATTCTTGGATGGATTGGAGCAAATGAGTTCCTCTCCTATTTATAGGCTGCCTAGGAGCATTCTAGAATTCTCAAGAAAACATCATGCAGAAGCTTCCCATGGAAGCCTTCTTTACAAGCTACAAGAATGTTCTAAAATGCCTTCTAGAACTATCTATACAAATATCTAATTATATGTACAAGTGTATAGGTTCTTGAATTTTCTAGGTCCTTCTAGAATTCTCCATAGGTCTTCATATGTGCTAGAGTTTGCTAGGGAGTTCTAGATTCCTCCGTTAACCTCACTCCCTTGCATGCTCCCTTCTAGATATTTTGGATAATTTTGTAAG